AGATAAGAGTATTTGAACAGATTAAACCTTTCCTAACTAGAGGTCACTGATGTCTAGATGCCCAGCCCAAAATAAGCATTAGGGATTAACTTGATGAATTTGCATACCTAAATACATTTTAAGCATATTTAAGGTTTTCATTTGGTACATTTGTTTCAATAAAAGAAATCTGCTCTGTATTTTTTTTTATTAAAGGAAGACAAATGTGTAAAATTTAATAGTTATTTTTTTAAACTGTAGTTATATAAGACAATTACAGTATTCAACAGCTGGTACAAAAGATGCCACTGCTGCCTGAAGAAGGCAATGTTAATCTACGCTACTGGTCAAAAGTTTTACAACACACCCATTTTTCCAGTTTTTATTGAAATGTAAGCAGTTCAAGTCCAGTGAATAACCTGAAATGGTACAGAGGTAAGAGGTAAACTGCCAGAGGTGAAAAAAAGAAGTTAAGGTTAACAAAAACTGAAAAATAATGTACATTTCAGAATTATACAAAAAGGGCTTTTTCACAGAGGAAATAATAGGCTAACAGCTCACAGTTGTTCTGCAGCAACGTAAGTAAATTAAGCCTTGAAAGTTTATGCTAACATTTCGTAACGGTGTCCCAACTTTTGTTGATTACTCACAAGCCCTCTAGCTGCATAAAAGCAGTGTTGGAACAGACTGTGTTACTATAACCTCTTAAGCAATATTAGGACAGTATGGTACTCCAGGAAGTAGTACATTGATCTAAAAAAAAGGCAATTAACAAAGGTAGACAGACAGACCATTATAACCCTTAAAAGTGTAGGTCTTTCCTTTAGAGAAATAGCAAAGAAAACCAAGATGTCAGTGAATACAGTTTCCTACACTATCAAAAGGCATTTGGGAACTGGAGGAAACTCTGCCAGGAAGAGGTCTGGCATACCCAAAGCCACAACAGAATCAGAAGACAAGTTTCTGAGCGACAATAGCTTGTGTGGCAGGTGGCTAACAGGACAACAGCTTCAAGTACAGCTTAACACTGATTGAAGTAAGCCTCAGTTTCAACTGTAAAGAGAGGACTTCGAGCTGCAGGTTTGACCGGTCGAGTGGCAGTAAGAAAGCCATTGCTAAAATGGCAAAATAAGAAAAAGAGGCTTGCCTGGGCCATGAAGCACTGCCAGTGGACTACTAAAGACCGGAAGAAGGTCTTATGGACTGATAAATGAAAATTTGAGATCTTGGGTTCATCACACAGTTTGTGACATCAAATGTCAAACATGGAGGAGGAAGTTTGATGGTCTGGGGATGTTTTACTGGATACAGAGTCAGTGACTTGCATAGAGGGAGTGGCACCCTTGACCCAAAACTACTACCACAGCATTTTGCAGCGCCATGCAATACCCCCTGGTGTATGTCTATGTTACAGGGGGGGACACCATAATGGATCAATCATACCATATATAATTTTTACCTTAGCCCATAGTTTTTTAACTTTGCCTACAGTTTCACTTTAGGTTGTATTTTTATCTTAGACTTTTTATTATTAGACTATTTATTATTTTTACTGTAGGCTTCAATAGCTCAGACCAGTGCCTGGTTAAAAATGTGGCGTCATAACATTTGCAGATGTAATATTGTAAATGACCCCTCAGGTGACTGATTTATATCTGCAGTGTCCTTTAGAAAGAGCATTCTAATTGCACTGTGCTATAAGTGCAATCATCTTCCACTTGTGCCTTATTTTACCCTTCTACTTGTCTCCTGGTTAAGAATGAAAAGTGTTAGTGACTTGGTCACATTTCAGTCCGGGTCACTGTTCTGTGAGCTGTCTTTATTTGATGTAATGAAAGCTATGCGAATGTTTATTGGATTTAAATGTGAAGGCTTATTGGTTTTAGATAGGGTCAGAAGAACAATTTAGATGCAAAAAAGAAGAGAAATGAAGATCAAAATTACCTTTATGCTTCCAATAGCTGAATACAGTGATAGTAAATGGTTGTGGCTTTTAATTCCACCGAGGTCCAAAATAAGCTTATCCATTTGAATGTGGTAAAAAAGATGATGCTATTATCACAGAAATTACTATACTAAAATAATCATTATATAAAAGTGTGTCTAAACAGATTTAATTAAAGACATTTTTATCATATGTAAGAAATGTATAAAGTGATCACATGACTAATCACCTATGATTATGTTAAAGAGCAATTTTACATGATATATAAAATCAGTCAGTACACTGCTGATTTGAAACTTGGAAGCTAAGAAAGCATTTTAACTGCACTAAACATGGCCCACTCAATTTATTTCAATCTGAGCTTTTTATAATCCCTTGCAGGAAGTTTTGGCCATATGCTTCCATGCTTCTTTTCATATTTTGTTTTTCTTCGTTCATCCTCCCTCTTATTCTTCACTGTCAGTGTGTGATGCTGCAGTGGCTTAAAGAGAAGGTGGTGTGTGGACTAGAAAACACCCTGACCTGCTCGGGTACATTTTCATTCGGAAAATATTCAGAAGTAAATTGGGAACAATAAGGATTTAATAAGAAAATTGTGTGGTGCATAGGATGAAAGCTAAACCCACTCAGGAGGTAGCATGTTTCCCCGAAAAGTGAAAGAATGTTTTTTTTGTTTAATTGGTATGTATTTAGATATAGAATGAGGGACTGTACTTTCCTATGCAAAGACCAGTTATACAACTTAAAGAATAAGTGCACTTTTAGACAAAGAGCTCTTTTTCTTTTTGTCTTCCTTCCCTGACCTAAATGATCCCACCATCACCTTCTGCAGATCTATACTTACTGAGATCTGAGGGCTGCTCTCCGTTGTTTGTTGACATCCAGTTCTTCAAATCTCCCTCTCCTGGCCGCATCTGTCTACCAGCTGGGAGACGGCCCCATAGAAGTCTACAGGAATGTAATGTGCAGGTGTAGCCAGCAGAGGGAGCATTGTGGAGCTGGATGTAAACAATATCGCATCTATGCCCATCAGATCTCGGTAAGTACAAAAGGGAGACGGATCATTTAGGACAGGGGTGGGAGGCAAAAATGATAAGGATAAGTTAGTATAGTGACCAGTGATGTACCCAAACATGACTAATCAAGAGTTAAAAAGCCTCTTCGGCACTGATAATTGCATAAACATAATAATAAATAAACAGTGTTTAAAGACAAGGGCTGCAGAGGCAGGACGCAGTTTGGGGCCTGTGTTCTAAACTCTCGCACTAATTAAAGACTTATTCTCTGTTTCCTCTGTAATGGAAGCATTATCATAATAATTAATGTATTATCAGTTAATAGCTACTTTCATGATTTCAGCTTGAGTGTTATTGCAAATGTTGTGGGGACCTTTGATAAAATTTGGCACTAGTTCCAGGTGTTTAGTTATGCCCCTGAGAAAAATTGTCACTTCTATGCATGTGATGTCCTTAATTTCAGTTATGCATAATGGCAAGGTTCGACAGAACTATGTCAGGCTTGGTATGTCTGCCCTCTGGAAGTTATTTTTTATTAAACTAATATTTTGCACTGCAAATGTTTCCAGCACTGAGCAGGGATCTAATGTAAAGATTTGGTGGGTGCAGCAATCTGTATTTTCCATGACTAAAACTTCAAACAGAAGACCAAAAGAGGCACAGACAATACTTTTGTATGGAAACTAAAAGGTGCTCAGTGGTAGGAAAGAGAAGCCTGCTGAGTAATCACTACATTGACACATGCATATTGCATTTGTTATACTTAATTGCAGAGAAATTGATCTGGGAAGTATAATCAAACGTTATACTTTCCAGACAACTTTTTCCTGTGTTTACATGCGTTTACACACATTCAGAGTATCTGATCTGCCCTTGAAAGCATCTAAACACAAGTAAATGCACCATTACAAATCAAAAATATGCCCCATGTTGATATGCCCTAAAAAATGCCCTAGCACCAGAGAGAGGAGAAAATGCTGTGCCCAATAAGTTTGTGTTTATAAATAAATCCCATTATTCAAACTCAGACCAGAGGCAACCCAAGAATCTCTTTTTTTGCACTGGGTGGTGTTCCACAAAACACCATGTAATCTACACACGACCCTGTTCACAAAAATATGATAAAAAAAGAATAATTTTAACAAAAATGTTTATTCCATTTGAACCTCTTGAAAAATTACTGTAAGTGTGGCCACATTAGTGCATGCTAACATGTATGTATCTGAGGGGCATATTTATAATAGTCAGGAAAATCCAGGCACCTTTGGTGGCCTGGATTATCCCATATTTTCTGGATTGGTAAAAAATGAAAGTAAATATTACAGGGGTATATGTCACAAAATGAAAATGAAGAAAAAAAGTTAATTTGTGGCAAAGATTCAGGGAATGGGCTTAGACAGACAAGTAATTGAGGTCTGCATAAGGAATCAGTGGATTTGCCATGTTCAGAGTGGTGAATTTTACAAAGTCTATCCTGTAACATTTGCTGCATTAGGCCCCATTCACACTGAGCGATTTATCGCGCGGTAATCCGCACGATATCGCGGGTATTTACCGCGCAATATCGCTCTCCAATGCATCTCAATGGGGCTCGGTCCGTTGCTGTCGCGGGTCGTGCGTTGCTACAGCAGGACCCTTTTTGGAGCAGATTTTGCCGCGATTCTAGGTTGCTCAATGCAACCATTTGCGCAATATCGCGTGGCAAATGCGCGATATCGCGCGGCAAATGGGCGATATCGCGCGGCAAACGCGCGATATCGCGCAAATCGCGCAACAAATGCGCGATTTGCGAATCGCTCAGTGTGAATGGGGCCTTATAAATTAGGCAAATTTTACATCTAGTAGCCCTTACCATTAGGAATTATAAATCAAGTGTTGGTAAATCTTTTTGACCCTGGTGGATAATTTGGCAAATAGCAACTGTGTGCACATGTTGTAAATTAGGTGAATGATTCTTGGAAAAACTGCTAAGATCCATGGTGAATCTTGCATAAATCTTCAGTGAATTTGAGATTCAACCGTTTATAAACCAAATTTAAGTCAATTTCTTCGTCTTTCAGGAAAACTGCAAGAGACAAAAAGAGCAGCTGTGTGAGAGGTTTGATTATTTGTATGCTATACTTGAAGAGAGAAAAGGTGAACTAACCCAAGTAATCACAAAAGACCAAGAGGAAAAACTTGAATATGTAAAGTCTTTAATGAAGAAATATGCGGATCATACGGAAACGGTTTCAAAACTGGTGGAATCAGGAATTCAGTTCATGGATGAGCCAGAAATGGCAGTGTTCCTTCAAGTGAGTACATGTGACCACTAACAATAATTTATAAGTTGTATATATTTTTTTTCACCTTAGCAAAAAAAATTGAGATGTAGGTGTACTCAGGTGAAAAGAATTCAAAGTGCTGTAAGCTTAATCTACCAATTAGAATTGATGTGATTCAGTTTAGAAGTTTTTAAATTCTGCAGGGTCCAGGCATAGAGCAGCAATGGATGTTTCCAACCCCATGCAAATTTGTACTACTGAGTTAGAGATTTAAAATCAAGTTAGTAAAATTGCTAACTAATTTCCCTCTTTATTACTCAGTAGTATCAGCATTAATGTATTTACCAGTTTCCAACTTAATAGATTAGTCTCCCAAACATTGTTATTATGCCTCATTTGTGACAGATTTGGTTGAAGTAATTCAAGAATCACTGCGCTAGGTGTGAAAACTAACTAACTAATTGGACCAGCCGCAACAATGTGTGTGAGTGAACTTAGTATATCGCAAGTAAGTTGCGCTCGGTCTGAAAGCAAATAAGATAAAATAAATGAAATATTGTGTACTCTTAGGGATGTGAAAATTATAATTAAACAAATGTGGGTGCCGGGAATCAATATCTCGGCTTTAGGTGAAAATTTAACTGTGCAAAAAATTATTATAAATCCCGGTGATCGCTATCCCGGTTTATAACTGTGCAATACGACAATCAAAAAAAGGTTTTCGATCACCAGCCGGTGTATCGATTAGGTGTTGCTGTATACTGAGTGCACTTAATTTGTCCAAACAGACTTCCTAATGCTGTGAACATCTATTCAAAGACAGCAAATATAAATGACCAGATAACATGGACTGGTCGTGTATAGGAAAAGCAAAACCAATTATAAAGTCCCAAACTCCAAATAGTGACAAGTATTTAAATATAGTGCGAACACTAAATCATATGAAAATGAAACAATAGAAAGATTATCACATATATAATGCTGCTCCATGCACTCTGATCCCTCTCAAAGAAAAAGATTAAATACGGGGTTAATTAACCAGAATACCGGCACCGATCTTAGTGAGCAGTCAGTTCAAAGCGGTCAGTTCAAACGTCTCCAACCCATGGATAATTCAGAGAATCCAGAAAGTCCTATGGTTTCCAGTGATCCGTGCTCCTTTCTCAAAGATCTGGTCTGCTTTTTTCCTTCCTATGGCGGACACCCTCACCTCTCGCTGGCGACGGAAACCTATTAAGATCAAGAAAAATGTTCAGAGTCTTATTGGATGAGATGATGGCTCGTCTCAGGCAGCAAGGGTTAGAGGTATCAGCAGTGGTCAATTTAGCGGCAGCCTTTTCAGTACATCCAGGAAGTTTTCTTCAGAGGTCTTTCTTTTTCCTTCCTTTCTTTCTCCCTCCTTTTCTCCTTCGTGACTGTGCCTAGGAAGTCTGTTTGGACAAATTAAGTGCACTCAGTATAACGCCTAATCGATACACCGGCTGGTGATCGAAAACCTTTTTTTGATTGTCGTATTGCACAGTTATAAACCGGGATAGCGATCACCGGGATTTATAATAATTTTTTGCACAGTTAAATTTTCACCTAAAGCCGAGATATTGATTCCCGGCACCCACATTTGTTTAATTATAATTTTCACATCGCTAAGATTACACAATATTTCATTTATTTTATCTTATTTGCTTTCAGACCGAGCGCAACTCACTTGCGATATACTAGATTTGGTTGAAGGCTAAGCCCTCATTCACACCTACACTTTAGGTGCAATTAGGGATTCTAGCATCGGGAATTTGCAACTTCCTGCAACAGGAATCCCTAATCTGCCATAAATGTAGTTAGGAATCAATCACTGTTCCTGGAAGCATCGATCTTGTGCCCAGGGATAGTGATCTATTCCCAACCACATGTAATTGTATTCCATACCACCGTGCAGTGTGCCAGCATCCTGCTGCTTTCAAATGCAACTGCTGTCACCCAATTATTAACTTGAACAGGTGACAACTGCCGCTTGTAAACAGCATATTAGGGATTCCTGCTGCAGGAAGATGCAACTTCCTGCCACAGGAATCACTAAATGCACCTAAAATATAGGTGTGAATGTATCCCAAAGCCGTGCAAGTTTTTGTTGAATCCCTGTAACTCTTCTGATTTGGCTATTATTGTTTACCCGTGTATATATCAGGGGAAGTTTATTAGAACCTATAAAGATTTATTAGTAGCAATTTGCAGTAATAATTGTGAATAGGGTTTTCCCTAAAAAACATGTATGAAAGAATATCTGTTTTACTGTATGCCAAAGGTCTGAGGTACAATACAGTCACAAAAGAGTACATGAAAAGGAACACTATGAAGTTTTTATTGTTTAAAATATTTTTCTTTAATGGGTATTTTGTTTTGTATGCTTCACAGAATTCCAAGGCTTTGCTACAAAAGTGAGTGCCATTTTATACTAAGACTATTATGTAAATGTGTATTGCTCAGCTTGTGACTATAAATTGTATCATACGCTCTTTAATATTTTAGAATAACAGAAGCATCCAGAGGATTTCAAATGGATAAAATCGACCCAGGATATGAAACCATGAATCACTTTACAGTGGACCTAAACAGAGAAGAGAGAATAATACGTGAAATAAGTTTTTATAGAGGTATGCGCCATATTCCAGGAAGTATGTTGCATATGACATCATATTTGACACTTATTAGGTAAAATGCTGCAAAAAAAGTGAAAACATTTGAATACATGAGATATCTGAAGGTTTCATATACATGTAGACATTTTATGTAATTCACCATATATTAGAGTTCTTGTCTAAGCACCTTACCACTATTGGTATGATCTAAGTGGGTTCGACAGTGAGCTTTCGCACATCTAATCAATCTAAGGCCTATGTCATACTAGTCATCCTGTCCAATGAGGCAACTTGCAAGCAACAGGATTATTAAGAGAGTAACATCATGATCAGAAGCAATGGAAAGGCATCCAGAGACAGAGAAGGCAGCTCCAAATGCCCTTTGGTACCTCTGCTCCGGAATGCCTGACAAACATACCTGTTTATGTGAATGGAATAGGAAGCTTAGGTAGATGATGGCAATGGCATATATCCAAGAAGCAGTATACAGGACCTTTCTGATAAATGTTGCTTCTACTCCAGACTCCTGTGGGGCATTGAGAATCTTGTATTGGGACTGGCACTGCATAGAAACACTACCGTTACAAGTGCAACCCAGACTGCATAGGAGTACTACTGGTGCCAGCACATCCCAGTACCCTACACTACTAATACCACCACAGCCTAGTAGCCTGCCCTACTGGAACCAGCACAGCCCAGTGCCCTATACATGAGCATTACTGGTACTGGCACAGCCCATATCCTGTAAGGAGCACTATTGGTACCAGCATAGAAAGCATAAAAGTAATAGCCGAGATACTTTTCTTTCTTTCTGATCGATTTCGTGGGGTGGAATAACTCTACGGCTTCCTCATTGGTAGTCTGGGATGTTTTGAAGGGCTGCTTGTGAAGCAAATCTCAATTGTTAAAGCAAATACCAAGGAATAGGAGAGGAATGTGGTGATACAAGGGCAGAAAAGAAAATATTATTAATCCTTCTATTACTTAGTGAAAATTGCATTGAAGAAGCATTACTTTAAAGAGGCAGGTAAAGTAGGGTGTTTACTAGCAACTATAACATGGGTTCAACCACAATCTGCATATATAGGGGCAAAAAATGTGTACGAATTTCAATTCGGAACAAAACGAATGGCACATTTTTATCTACTACCTGATAGTAGATATTCTATAAAGTCATTTATATGCTCCTAAAAGGACATACTTAGATGAACAACTAGGTAGCTATTTAGAATAAATACGTTTTTGAACTGGAAGATATACAGGGTTATTCACAAAAGGGTGAAGAGTTTGGAGAGAGCAGAAGAAGTGAACAATCTAGGCCAGGGGTGCCCATTAGGTAGATCGCGATCTACCAGTAGTAGAACACTACTGGTAGATCACGATCTACCAGTAGTGAACACTAGTACATCGCGATCGGCTCAATGTGTCCTGTCCTCCCGCCGTGCTCATGCGGCTGAGGCGGCGTGGCGGTGCATTGAAGTCAATGGCACCACAGCCATGCCCCAGCCCTCAGTGTGATTGCCTGTGCCCGGAACGCAGGCACATTAATGCCTGCGTTCCGGTCCAGCACGATCTGCAAAAATGCAGCATTTTTGCAGATCGCACTGGACCTGGAACCCAGGCACTAATGTGCCTGCATTCCTGGTGCAACGATTGCACTGGGGGCGTGGCTGCGGTGCTATTGACTTCAATGCACTGCCACGCCCCCTCCTGCCCCTGAATGCAGGTGTTTTTTCGTTGGTAGATCTCATTGAGCTCGTCATTTGAAAAGTAGATCTCCAGACGAAAAATTGTGGGCGCCCCTGATCTAGGCCAACATAGCTGATTTGGAAAAATTCTCCAATTCAGCTCACTTTCCAGTTCAGCTTTGTTGTCCTAAATTGTTCACGTATCCTGCCTTCTCCAATCTCTTCACCCTTTTTGTAAATAACCATTTTAGATTTCTTAGACAGCAATACTATCTGTAGATGCAATTAAAGCTTTTGATAATACTGAGTGGCCTTATTATTGCGCAGTGATGGAAAATGTAATTTCAACTCCGAGTTTGTCAAATGTGTTAAAATTCTGTATCAGAATCTCTGTAGAAGAATTAGAATAAATAACTGTTTTTCAATCATTCATAATTTAGTGTGGCACTTATCAAGGATCCCCCCTAATCCCCATTATAATTTGCAATAACTATTGAACCATTGGCAGCAATGATCAGACAATACTTGGACATCAATGGCTGTAAACAATACCGTATTGAAGAAAAAAAAATAACGTTATATGCATCTGATGTTCTTTTACTTTTTAGTGATGTGAGCCACTCTTTAGAAACTGAAATGAACTAAAATCTAAGGTGTACACTGTAGTAAATGTAAATTTTGGCTGATTTCTGCTAAATTGTCTGAAATTTGAGCTGTGGGTGCTGCAAACACCACCTGGCTTGACAAAAGTCAATTTAAAAATAGACTGAGCCAGGTGGAAAAATAGTGGCTGATCAGTGACTGCATCCTATGAGGTACAGTCACTGTTCAGCAAAAAGTACAATAGCTGACAGTGAAGATTCTTCCATCTACCTTGTTTAGCGTGTATGGGGTTTAATTTGATTTTCTCTTGTTCATACTGTGGACCACACAAGAGAAAATCGCTGTGTATGGCTAGCTACAAAAAGCAATGTGGCATTTGCACTCTGGAATAAATGGACCATTTTTAGATTTGAGCAAATGTATTATGATTCCCTAAAATCTTTTTATCTGGTACAGGAAGAGTTCTCAATACCTAAACAAATTTTTCATTAGTATTTACAATTGCTTTTTCATAGCTTCTTTTTACAGTAGATCACCCATAAGTCTTACATACGGGCAGAATTTAACATTTGCTCCCTATAGACTTTAATGGGATTTGCCTCTAAGTTCAGGTTTTCAGAAGTCACACAAAGATTCTCCAAACTTTTGGCCCATTGAAACCAGGCAGATTCGCCCAGGACTAGTCCTAACCACTAAACAACTGCATTGCTGCATATATCAATGTACAATAGATTCAAAATTGTATCTGACATTAATAGACTATGTAAGACAGCTCTTATGGGCCTAAATGTGCACTAACATATTTGACATTCACATTCATATAGAAGATGAAGAGGATGAAGAGGATGCGGGAGAGGCTGAAGATTTAGAAGAAGTCCACACAGAATCTTCTGGTGAAGAGGAAGCATCAGAGCAAGTGACCCAAAGTCCTCAGCCCACACCAGAATCCACCTCCACTTCCACAAGTACCAGCAAAGAACTGACTTCCCCTCAAAAGACAGATCAGCAGGATCCAAGTTCTCCTGCCCCACAAGTAATTTAAACACCTTAACTCACACTAACATTTTTCATGTTTCCTTCATGGCTTAATCCTCAAATTGGCATAACCAATCACAACCAATTACTTAGATGTTACATATGTATGATATGTGCAATAACATTGATAAGAAATAAACTGTACTAATTTCATACATAAAGGAAATTTCACATTAATGTATTTTCTAAGGTGCCATAGGTGAAATGCAGACATTAAATTATTTGATGATGAACTTTCTATGCATGTTTCAATTTGTTGCCAAGATTGACAATATGAAATACTTATTGGTCTTATGCTAGTTAAATTGCTTTAAAAATCTACATAGACCATGAATCAATTTGTTATAAAGAGTGAAAATCTCGAGAATAAAAAGTTTTATTTTTAACTGGCATGTACAGCTCCTGCAGTGAAATGTCCTATAGTCACTAGTGGAACAGACTTGAAAGTTCACAAAGGCAATCAGGTCCTTATAAGGCTAAAGCAGACCATCTGCTTTTTCCTGGCAAAAACTTGTTAGCTTTGTGTCAAATGATGCAGACTAGAGTCTAATTTTGAGATGGGTGTTTACAGAGTTCACCTGATAAGCAAAGAGAAATCTGTGTGTGTGTGTATTGTGTTGATATCTGCCCACTGTAGCACTTTGGGGCAGCGCATACACTCGCAATTATCAGCAAACAAGGCCTAACAATAATCTTGAAGTTCTGTTCTAAGAAATATATAGTTGGATACAAGGACGCAATTCAAATACCTGTGCTGCAGGATTAAAACTATTCTACTACCTTTTGGTCCAACTTTTCTGCTCCCTAAATTATGTCTGCACCTAATGGATGAGTGGAAAATGCTTAATGTAGGGGATGATGCAGATTTTTTGTCCCGTAAGCAGGATGGAGTTGGATAGGTGACAAAGGAAGCTGATTTGTTGAAACAAAAAATTAGGTCACCCTACAGAGGGGCACATGAGTGTAAATCACCAGACTAACTGTACCGAATAACAAATTCTTTGGTTTGTAAAACAATGTATTTAGCTCTGCTTTAATAATATTCCCTGAATTTGCATTGCACAAGAATGTTTAGCATAACCTAAACAAGTTAAAGTTAGCATATATAGTTATGTATGTTAAGGTATTGGGAAGGAACATAAGTAAACATTTGCCAAAGTTTGCAAAACTTGCAAATGTTTAACAATGAGCAAGTGCTGTTTTCAACAAACTAGTCACTTTGACTAGAACAGGAAAAAAAAGTTTTGTGCTTAAGAGATTTTGAGCTAGGAATTCCCGCAGCTTTAGTTAAGACTATTTTTCAGTTTGTAAGGAGCTTGTAAATAAGCTCACCTTATGTAGGTGTCAGATTTATATGAAGATCATACAGAGGAATGAAGATTATGCCAAGGAATTATTCCGCTAGTTGCTTCAGTTTGACAGTTTCAAATACACTCTTTGTCGTGTGTGTCTATAAATTGTCATTCAATTTGTTACCTCCCTCACTTCCCGCTTCTCTCCTACACAGACAATATTAACATCTGCTCATAGCTGATGGTGTGAATGACATTAATTATAGAAGAAAAATTACTGAATTGGTATTAATTAGGAATCATTATCATTTGTAAATGATTTAAATCATGTTTATTCTGAACTCTTTTCACCAGGTTGCAAATAATAATTTATTGTGAGAAGCTTTCATCTCCATCCTTTCATCAAAAGACCCCTTTAGAATCTCTGTTCACAAACGTTTCATATTAGACTTATCTTTTATGTGAAACATACACAGCATAAAGATAGTGCTTTTCTGATAAACAAATGAGGTCCTGTGATATTTCTATTAGGACTACTAAGCCAAACACAAAATAAATCTAGGTAATAGTACTACTAGTAACCCTGAAAAGAGTGCATGCAAAGATACCCATACTTGAGCCTGGAATTAAACATACATCATTCACCAGCTGCAGGTGCAGAACCACTAGAATCCAATTCTCCCCACAGTATCCAAATACAAACGGGCTGCAATTCCGCTGTTCTTTTTTCCTTGATATCCAACAAGCCCAACTGTAAGTAGTACAGACTGTGGCACATCGCTCACAGGCAGACCCTGTGCTACTCCTTCGATGTCTTTCTCCCCAATAGGGGCTTAATCATGAAGGTGCAGTACTAGAGCAGGGTGGGAATTATATATATATGATCCACAATTACCAAATTAACAATGAATCCTCATTTTCAAAATATGGCAACCCCTTTAAAGCGATACCATTCTAATTTTATACAATACTACATACTTCGACACAATACTAATAGAAAAACAACCCACCCCTTGAGATTGACACATTTGACACTTAACTTTGCAGTGCAGCACTTTTTCTGTGTCAGCTGAAACTGTACGTACGTTGAAACTGAGTTCAAGACAATATAAAAATATGCTTTTTAAACTAATTATGTATTATTTTTATTATGTATTATTTTAAAATGTCAGTCAGTAACTACAGGGAGACCTATTACCTCTAGCAGGGGGTTCATAACTGACATAATAAAAAAATACATAAGGTCCTAAAACCCTTTGTCATACCTCTACTCCCTAATGTAAGGGATAAACCATATTTACTAGGGATGTCCCGGTACCGATACTTGTATCAGTATCGGGGCTGATACAGGGCATGGCACTTAAAATTTTTAAATAGGTTCAGGCTGCTTGTACAAGTGATCCACCCAGATCACTTGAATAGCAGCCTGCTCGCCCGTCCACCTGCTAACCCTTCCCCTCCAAGGTCTGCCCCTCCCCTTTAAGGTCCATCCCCCATGGTCCACCCCCTCCCTGCTGTGGTTTTCGGGTTCTCCCGCTCTTCTGGGGACCCAGGACCATTGCAAAACAGTTGAGGATGGAGAGTGGGGAGCAGAGCAGTGAACGTCGGCCCTCCACTCTGCTCTCTCTGCTCTGTGATCAGTGACACAGGAATGCTGTATTCACAACGTGTCCTGTGTCAGCTGTAACAAATGGAGCAGTACAGAAGATACAGCACAATGCTGAGCTGTATCTTTTGTACTGGACTACAAGCTCATAAAGAGAGCCTATTACCTCCGAATGATATCACATAGGTGCTTGTTACCCCCTGTGTGATATCAATACAGTTAAGTGAAAAAAAAAGTGATAAAATAATACAAAATAATAAAATTAAAATAAAAAAAAAGTGATAAAAAGGTAAAAAAATTAAACATTTAAAAGTGTAAAATGAACATTTTAAAAATGTAAAAGTGATAAAAAGGTAAAGAAAATACAAAATAATAAAACAATAAAAGATAATCAAATAAAAATAAAAAAGTGGCAAAAAATAAATATAATAAAATAAATACAAATTAGAATAAAAACCAATTCCACTGTGTGCCATATTGTGGTAGTGGGGCAGCAGCACTCTCTAACACGCACAATGCACATTAAAGGTTAAGTTCACTTTCCCAAATAATTTGGGTAAATTGAATTACCTGCTTAAATCTGGCCAAATGTCCCCCCCTCCCCACTATACTTACCTTTTGGTGAACGGTCCTTCCCCTCCCCCAGTATGGGTTACTTTCTGTACCTTAAACTGCCATCCAGTGTAGCCCTGCGCTATGGATTTTGAATTTCCCTCAGAAATTGCAAGCACTCATTGGTCAGTGCAGTCAGGTGACCACGCTGACCAATGAGAAGCGTTTCTTAGCAAGGTCAAATACGATTTTGGTTAAAATTATTTTTGTATCAGAACAAGTTGAGAGACACAGGACTTGGTAGTGCTACATGACAAGGTTGTGTGGATCATAAAATCAGCTGAACAGAATTATCAATTGTTTTAAATCTAAAGCAGTACACATAAATGTATTGTATTATTTAGCTGTATTCCTGGAGCTTAACCTTAAAAGAAGGCATCAACATTAGAGTTGTTAGATTATATATATGGGATTACTAGTTATGAAGTTAGCTGTGTGATCATTTGTGTTAATGATCTGTGTTAATGATCTGTAAAAAATGTTGTTTACATAATTACCTATTAGTAAACACTCTTGCATAAACTGATTTAGAAAAAAAAATGTGTGCAATCCTAATTTTTTTCAGATTTTGACAAAGTATAGAAGGGTGCCCCATTGGAGATATTTTCTTTTACTTCCTGCCATAAAGATGGAAAAGGAAGTGAGAGGAAATCTCTACAATGCGAGAGTGCAAGTGTCCCTTCTATTTCTGTTCTGGGGAAAACGGTAACATTTTGGATTTCTCATCACTTTCTGTTTTGTTGACATTTTAGCATTAGATATGCATTAATTATGTCTGGGTTCCTTGCACAGTACTTACATAAGGCACTTAACATTTTTCCTCACCACCTAAAGGTCTGAAATTTCTTTCTTTTCCAGTTAGCCTTTTTACAAAATAGCTCAGGATTTCTTGGGGAAACCCCAGAAGTGGTCAAGATAAATGCTCAAATAATTTTTTTAGGAATTCAGACTCTAATTTCAGGGCTGGTTTTGGTGGCCTGTCTTGTGATGCTAGCTTAAAGCCCATTTTACTTAGAAAGAGAAACTAGTTCTTCTGTTAAAAAAGCAAAGACATTAATGTAAAACACTAGCCAACGCGTTTTTTTTTTGCTTCCTACTTTTTGTTGTATAACCAATACAGTAAGTGATAGGAAATCTCACAAGGGGTACATAGCAAAAACAACTGATGGTTCTAAGCCTTCCCCACACTATTTAAAACAAAAAAAAGTTTTGATTGGAGTTCTTCTTTAACCATGTTGTCCATATTGGATTCCAATGAAGCAAAATACCCCAAAAGTATTAGGATATGTGTAGCAATCTGCAATTATTTGAAATACACAAAAACATATGCAGGAGAAGAAAAAAATGCATTTAAATTAAATTATTTGGTATCATTCATTGACCCTTAAATGAGTATCACTGGTCTTAGCAGTGATACCTATTTAGCCACATTCACACATAACATTCTAGCAATTTATGATCTATCTATCTATCTATCTATCTATCTATCTATCTATCTATCTATCTATCTATCTATCTATCAATCTATCTGTAAATATATGCACAATTTTTGCACATGACTAAGTGTAATATGGTACTAACACAGGCAATTTTGTATATCTAACCTAGGATTTCAAATAACTTTCTTTGCTGGAGTTACATAGTTAATAAACAATAAAATCTTAATTACAATTTTTTCATCTTCGGAGGTTGTCCTGTTGTATTACTTTGCCTTATAAGCTATATTTCAGAAGCACCATGTACAAAAGATTGAGCTGCATTCCAGAAGATAATGTCTCTTTTTATTTTATCTGTCCTGATAAAGGGTAGTGTTGAGCCAAGTGGTATTCAACAGACGCCTAATGCTCAAGTGCTCTCAGCATCAGAAACTTCAGATCGCTTGTTTTACCCTAGTTGGTATAAGAACCTGACACAGCAACAATCCAGCCCTAACAAGGCCCCAGTGACTGAGGCCATGGGTCCAGTAAGTTCTCCCATTCCAAAGGAACTGACTGTAAAGAAAGTAGACCCACCAGCGACAACTTTTAAGCAGAACATGGCAGAGGCTGGTAAGGACACCAGTTCATCTGTAAATATGCCACAGGTTAGTGAACACCTCCAGTTTGTATTTGTGAGCAGTGAGCTTGCTAAGCTTGCAAAATCATGAAGAATGCTTTGCTATGTCTATGCTGCTTCATCACTATTTATGTCCATGAAAAGAATTGTAGCAGAATATTATTTTGGCATTTACATTCTAAAACCATTTTTACTAGTCTTTCCTATAAAGCTCCTTATATGTGTTATTCTTATTTTTTAACCCATATTAATATACATTTGCAAAAACTTCCTAAATTGTTCTTAAAAACGCATTTCACTAAGATTTAGAAGTGCAACCATATTATCCAGCAATATGTAGTATTTATAATATCAGGGCTGAAAATTGCTCTAGAAAAGCAAACTATTTTGCCTACCTCCTAAAACAGTAAAGTTAAAACGCACATGAGACACAAAACCATAGTTAAAATGCTTGACCTTCTTTCATAAATATCCCCCATTGTGTTTAATTCTTCATTTACTCTTAATTTACTTAATATTTTGGTTTTCTACGAGCCTACAAAATAATGGGTAAAACATGTCTGTCTATAGATTAGTTAGGAGCCCTACCAACAATTGTTAAAATTATTCCCTACACTATACACCAGACCCTTACTCTTGCCTAAGAAATGCACATTAATATGGCATTATGAAGAGTACAGTGGGAGGTGTTAAACTCCCCCTGCTGCATTAGGAGGGAAGCCTTTAGATGGAAAGGAAGGCACAACCAGAAACCATATTGGGAGGATCTTGTCACTGGTGTCACTACGATATATAAGAAGTCAAAGAATGATGCAACCCACTTTTGTGTGCACATAATTAAACTGCTAGTTCCTGGATAGGCTGATGCTTTAAATTGTTTACTAACTCAAACCCACTGTACTTAAATCCCTATATAGTATCGCTTTCTTTTGTTCAAGAGTGTTTTCTTATTTCCTCACAGGGATTAGTTCTCTGCTTATCAATTCTGACATTATTTATGATACTGCATCACCTCTGGAACCAAATTCAGTACATGGTATTTACAATTATGGGTAGGAACAAGTTAAATTTTTTGAGTATTAACACATCATCATCATCATCCCTCTAACTAGTTTGAAAAATAAGATTCAAAGCTGCTTTTTGCTGCAAGCTGATATTTATTTTTATAAAAGTAGTTGGAATATGTTGAATGTATAAAGCATATGGTCTTTAAATAATCAGTCCACTTAATGAATCAGCCACTGGCTTACATCTCTTATGAAATATGGTGGAAAGATCTCTGCAGTTGAGTTTCTAACCCTACATACCTGCCGTATTAATTATGAGGGTGTAATAGTGTCCACATTTTAAAACAGCAGTATGGCCTAATTGTATCCATACCACAGTTTTTGTTTTTAATCTCTTAACACATTTATAAAGTGTAGTGTAGCGTAGCATAGCGTTACAAATGTACTCTTTGTTTCACTTGCTTTGGGACTTTGAAGCAAGAAAAGCCTTTTCTATTTTAATAGGTGGAAAAAGCCCCATGAGAGGGTGGAAAACTGTACCAGGATGTTGGCAAGTCATGTGACAGGGATTTCCTCCTATCCTTGAGTGCTTCAGCTCTACAAAGAAACTACTCCAAGGGATTCTGCAGGCTCCACACAGCACTTAGTAAAATGTAGGCACAGTGTGAAGTAATAATTGAAATACCCCATGGAGAGCACTGGCCCCTGGGTCTCTGGATTTTTTTATTTGTGCCAAGATACAGAAATTGCATTATGAAGTAAAACTGATGCCAGAGGCAGGGAGTCCAGTGGTTAACGGTTTACTTTTAATTCCCAAAATCCCCAAAAATAAAGGAAGATTTATCACACCAGGGATTTACAATTTACTCATTTTACTTTGTACAGGAAAATATTAACATTTAGTTACATCTTTGTGAGGAATGACACTAACCTGAAGTACATAGGAGGTTCCCAGAGACGTATTGATGCCAAAGTGGAAATAGCACCAGCTAGAATTACTTACTTTGGCTCACTTCAGCCGCCGGATCCCTTTGGTTCAGTCGAACTGAAGCTCTGCTGTACAAGCTTTTCACAAGAGGGTACCCCGGTGCAAAAAAGCCCCCAGGCCCTCAGACCCCCACAACCACCGAGGCAGGGTTGTGGCTGAAGAGGCCCTTGTCCCCATTGGCATGGGGAGAAGGTGCTTTTCCAGGTGGGACCTCTGGAAAAGCACCATCGCAATGCCGAGGGCATGTGGCCTTGTGTGGCACAGGGAGGAGGGGGTTGCTCGCTCACCCCCGCCCCCTTCCCTGCCAGGCCTCCTGCCAGGCCTTTGCTCAGATTAAGGGTCTGGTAGGGAAGTTTTTTCCCTGTTTGGGGGTGGTGTTCCCCCTAAATTTCCTGGTAGAACCAAAGGGCCTGCTGTGATTTTTGGAGGGAACCCTACGCACGTTTTTTTCACTTTTTTAACTTGGGGGCCCTTCTACCTTTCCTACCAGACCTAAAGGGTCTGCTATGGATCGGGAGGGTGGACCCCACACCATTTTTTTTTCTTTCTTTTGTTTATATATTTTTTGCTCTGCAGCATTCGGCTATTCACTCATGAACAGCAGCAAGTGAACTGCCAGGCGTTCAGCTGAACCAAAGGGCGCCAACGCCAGCCAATGTACAGCTGAAATCAGCCGTACAGGGCTGAAGTAAATAGCCGAATGGCGTTCGTCTCCCTTCACTTCGGATCAGTTATTCACTTGGCTGCCTGCACAGATTAGTGAATGGACCCCTTGGTCTATAAATCTCTATAACTCTCTATAATAAATTACCCTATATTCCTATAAAGATAACACTACCCAAGAGTACACAAATTGCAGCTATGTTCTTCCTAAGATTGCTTTATTCCTAATAAAAGGCTAAGCAGATGCTTCACAGAGTTCTCTGAACACACTTACCTAACTGAAATCTTACATCAATAGACTGGTGAAACTATTCCCCTTCATTTATGACTTTATTCCGGGTATCTTGTCTGTTGTCCTAAACTGCACAGGTTCTGAATTTGACATTCGCCATATTGCCTCTAACACAATGTTGTGCTGTGGTTGAGACCATGCTACATCCACAGTGATTTATGGGATGTTTATTACTAAGATCATCGAAAAAAACTATTTCAGTCAAGGACAACTCATACATTTGTTAGATCTAAAATTGCCTCCGTTTGCCTATAATTGCTGTTTATATAGATATTGGACAGTTTAAAAGAAAAATATCAATTGAAATACAATAACATTTTATGGAGCTGATTTAATGTGCCTCTGTTGCTAGGTTAAAAAGCTAAAGAAAGAATACACACTGAAAAAAAAAAATACTCACCTGTCCCAGCCTGTGCTGCTGATGTTAGCTGTCCTAAAGAGCTAAGCTAACTAATGAATCTTTAGCATCCAACTCTTACAGGAGTGTCAAAAGCTTGACCTCCCTCTTTGCTCTATGGTTTCATTTGCCAGCACCTATGTCACTATTGGGCATGGTAGTGAAATAAGGTTCAGTAGAAGGAACTGCAGACTGCAGCAGAAAACCAGGTTTACAACACATAAAGAAGTGTTTTAGATGCTGAAGTTTCTTCAACAAGCTTGACCCTTTAAGAAAGCAAAGTTTAGCAGCTCGGGCAGCAGGATGGATGTATATTAATTTTTTTTTATTTTTTTATTTTTTCAAGTGTATTTTTTACAAAATATTAATCCTGCTACAGAATCACTTTAGGGAAGTAAGGGGCATTAATTGCTGACTCATTCAGCTGTGTGTGTAAATTTGAGCTTTGTAAAGCAAGTAAGGAGCCTGGTAAGGGGCCTGTTTGCTGAATATAAAAATACAAAATAATAATACACAGTATTTCATATTTACATCAGGTGATCAACCATGGACCCTTAAAATTGGGGTAAGCAGCCATGGCTGACCATTATCAGGAGACAATTATTCTCCCCAGGTTGCCTTTTTTTACCATCAGTACTGTTCCTGTGCAACAAAGAAGACTACAGACAGTATCTGCTCAATGCTCAGGCATCAATGCTTTGGCAATAAAGATACATGCTTGACACCAGTGCATTTAGTGTTTGACTAAAATAATTCAGTAATCCAATGAACTGCATGTAAAGCCGCATTCAACAGACAGGACCTCAATTTATAAATGTAAAAAGGTTTATTCCCAGGAATCTACAATGTTACAAGCACGACAAGATTCATAGGCTCTGACATGTTTTGCCAAAATGGCTTAATCATAGAGGTGATATGATTAAGCCTTTTTGGCAAAACATGTCAGAGCCTGTGGATCCTGTCATGCTTGTAACATTGTAGATTCCTGGGAATAAACCTTTTTTCATTGAGGTCCTGGCTGTTAAGTGCGTCTTTACATACATTACTGGTGACGGCCGTGGCGTGCCTCTGTCGGCCAGCACCCGGCATTTTGGATGGGACTGATTAGTTTGGGCATGTGTGTGTAAGAGGAGTCCTTTTCACAAACCTTTCTATAGAAGAATTCAGTGCCAATACCGTGACCCCTATCCAGAGTACGGAACAGTTAACATTTCTGGGGGACAGGAAGGCATGGACAGCAATCAAACATTGTCACAACTTTGAACCCCTTTTCACTCTATTTCCCCCCCTCCCACCCCCAACAAAGCAAACTAAAACAGATGTTCTAGCCCTTCCTTGCTATATCCAGTATAAAATAAAATGTAAACTTAGGGTCAGAGGTTAGGGCATTAAGTGTTAGGCTACATATCAGGGTTAAGGTGACTTAATCATTGTCAGGATTAATGTAAATGTTTAGTTTACAGTTAAGGTTACAAAGTTATAGTGTATGTAAAGCCCAACCGTTTTTGCTTGGTTTGGGATAAAATGAGAAAGAGGTAAAACCTCTATCAGGTTATTTTGCTGTCTGTGTTTTATTAGGAAGATATCCCTTTACATCTGGGCAACAGAAAGTGAAAAGTAATCTCCCCAAAGTAAGAGGAAATCCAACCTCAGACAGTTGTCTCTAGAACCTGTGGCCGCAATTGGAAGAGTTCCCTCACCTCTTGCTTTCACTAAGTTGCTGTCTGGGTGACAATAGTCACAA